GATCTCATTTCAATAAATAAGTTTTAAAAAAAATGGAATTTCCAAAAAATGAACCAACCTGGAATATAGAAATAGACTGCGATGAGCGGTACTTTCGAGTTGTTTGCACATTGTGACGCAAATGAGAATGACGCGGAATTACTGATTCGAAGACATCTCATAATATACAACACATAACTACCAGTTTTGAGAATGTGCTGTTTGTTCAACGGTTGAATACGAGGACTGACCATTCTGAAGTGGCAAATCAAAATTTAAAAAAAAAACCAAAACATTAATAGCAAAATTTTTGTAAAATTCCAAGAAAATGGCGTAGAAACAGTGAGTCTGCATAGGAATACCCCCATACACAACAACAAATCAGTTGATTTGGTATGACAGTTCACAGTTTCTTTTGGTAAAATTTCGAGCATTACGCTAAATTTCTTGTTCATGAAGCAATAAGCTATCAAATTTGTCAACTTGGATATGCTATATTGCCCAGTTGCCGCAAGCGAAACAAAACTTGGCTAATGGTCACACATTATCCAATCTTTTTAGTCTAAGACACAATATGCATTCTCACAATATGGCCGAGGCAATATTCACAAATGCGGATGACCTCACGCTTATCTTATATCGTTGGTTGTGTAGAAAGGATGGAGGAGACCTATGAACGAAACATGTGATGTTCACGCTGATTTACGGCTGAGAACAGACGCACATTCATTCACATGACGGACGCTCTTGTTAAGAGGGTTACCGTAATCTTTGTTGATTGCTTTAAATATACTGGTCAAGTATTGAGAGTTTCATCTTAAAGGTAAATGCATGCCACACATATTGATGAGACCCAAAAGGAGGGATATACAAGGAAAGAGGAGGGAATTTACTCTTTATATGCATGCATGTTCACGTAAACACCAGATATGAGCTGATCGATATTATGAATCACTAACGATAAGAAAGGAAATCACGATCGTAGCAATGTAGAGAGTTCTTATGAAATGTGTATTGATGAGCTGCATAGGGAAATAGATGAAGATTTACGAAATCAGTGGTGCATGGCCTGGGAAGACTATCACCACATTACCAAATGTTTATCAGGGCTTGATGAGATGTTTGCAAATGAAAAGACCGCTTTCGTTTATGAAAATGAAGTGATAAAATTTTATTCGTAAAATATTTCAGTTATAACAAATGCAATACGAAAACATCGCATAGTATAAGCAGTTGACGTTGAATTGAAAAAATTCATTATAAATAAATTTTCCAGTTCAGAAATTCACAAATCAGCAAGCATCATTAAGGAGAATCAAAGTGTGGTCATAACAATATCTGGAACATAACAATTTAAGAATGGTGTTGATGGTGATCATGAAAATTAAAATAATAACAACAACAGTTTTATTGTGTAGTAGGAATATCTGGAATACATTCCATGATTGGATTCTGCTTTCTAGGAGGCGAAAATTTCTCATTGTTTTCAAACGATTTTGTTTTCAAAACTAGAAAACATCTCAGTTTTCTATAGGGAAGCGCCTTCAGGGTCAGGAAAAGGCTTCAATCTTCATCTGATCGTTCTGGTTTCAAGCCTTCGTCAGTAATGACGTTCTTTGACCAAACAGTAAAATTCCTTTGGTACAGATGCCATACCAGGTGAACGATCCAATGAAGGCAGCACACCTAAATTTTTTTAATTGTATCATTCAGTTTTCTCCTTCAAAAATATATCAGTCACTGACAGACAAAAATATATCAATCAAATTTTTTTGTAATGAAGAAATGATTAATTTGATTTGAATCCCTGAAAAGTTGCAAACTCAGAACTGAAGATATCCAGAAAATCATTGATTTTAATCAATCAGATTGAAGTGGAACGGATTTTTTCCCTTTTTATTGTCAACTTCATGCGTATATCACACGGATAAGCACTAACCATAAGCTGGTAAGAATTTGAAATTTTGTATAAGTGAAACAAGAATAATGAACAATTCCATTCTTGCTAAGCCCTCGCCCAAGCACGATCTTTTCCCGAAACCAAACGGATTGAAATGTGCGTAAACTTTGAGTTTTCCATCCTCGGTTAAAAATCTGTTCACATCAAATTCTTCGGCATTTTCAAAATATTCCTCATTGAAATGAATTGCAACACCCATTTGGGGCATAATCGATGTTCCCTGAAACAATG